CATATATTGTAACATGTCTGATACAGTGAATGTGAAGACAAGTCATTGTCTTCATATATTGTAACAAGTCTGATACAGTGAATGTGAAGACAAGTCATTGTCTCCATATATTGTAACAAGTCTGATACAGTGAATGTGAAGTACGCTGTTTTCATATATTGTAACAAGTCTGATACAGTGAATGTGAAGACAAGTCATTGTCTTCATATATTGTATCATGTCTGATACAGTGAACGTATCACAAGCACACAAAATATTACACGGGAAAGAACTTTTAATTTTTGTTCCCCATTTTAAATTGCCCCTGAACTGTTATTCTGACATGCATCCCTGTACAGGATATTTTCTTACAAATCATTTGGTGAACAAATCTGCTGCCTTTATATAAAATAAGTGTGTCACATACTTGGGGGAATATGGTACATATACTGAACCATCTGAATTATCCGCGCATAAAACATATATATTTGTACTCATATGGAAATGAAATCATGTAAACATCAAGAAAGAACATCTTTTGTTCATTATGCATAATAATTATCATGTGTACATAGACCCTGTACACTTTCAGATGTGTTCTGAAGAAAAGAAAAATAGATGTGAAATCTGACAGCGGTGTGTTGATACAGAAACCAGAATCATGCACACGTAACAAGGATCACATGGAGGAAATAACAACTTGCGCATCATTAAGGGACATAATATTCACACTTACTATTTCACTGGTGTACATGTTGTCAAAACACACATTTTGTACAGTTCATGCCACTTTATTTGTCATTGCATGATGAAACAGGTTTGTGTACACATTTGGAACTCAGAAAGCCAAACAATAAATTCATTATGACATTATATTTATGTACACATCAGAGTGGTAACCACTGTGTACACACCTTTGAAAATAGATTATATGGCACTGTAGCTCTCAACCTCTACACAACATGACAATAGATTATATGGCACTGTAGCTCTCAACCTCTATATAACATGACAATAGATTATATGGCACTGCAGCTCTCAACCTCTACACAACATGACAATAGATTATATGGCACTTTAGCTCTCAACCTCTATATCACATGACAATAGATTATGTGGCACTGTAGCTCTCAACCTCTACACAGTATGACAATAGATTATATGGCACTGCAGCTCTCAACCTCTACACAACATGATAATAGATTATATGGCACTTTAGCTCTCAACCTCTACACAACATGAAAATAGATTATATGGCACTATAGCTCTCAACCTCTACACAACATGTCATTCAACCTTTTAGGCACAGAAGAGGATGAGAAGAAGAAATGGACTTGAAGAGTAATAAGAAATAGAAACTATAGATCTGGAATAGAACTACTCATAAAATTCAATCTATCACTGGTGTGCACAGTAATGGAACAAACCACAGCTATATTGATTCAGTGTATTCATATTTATTGTGGACAGTGAATCAATCATGAAGGATGTACATATAATCTATTAGTTGGAGGATTTATCGATTAACAATAAATCATGAGGAATATACGTATAATCTGTTAGTTGGAGGATTTATCATTGACAATAAATCATGAAGAATATACGTAAAATCTATTAGTTAAAGGATTTATCATTTACAATAAATCATGAAGAATATACGTATAATCTGTTAGTTGAAGGATTTATCAACATATAATCTGTTAGTTGAAGGATTTATCAACATATAATCTGTTAGTTGAAGGATTTATCATTGACAATAAATTATGAGGGATATATGTTTGATCTGTTAATTGGAGGATTTATCATTGACACTGGTTTGAGATTTGAACAACGGATCAACATCATGGCACAAGAATAGTAAGAGCTTCCATAAGAGCTCCGTTTTTCTTCTAACTCAAGTCTGAGTCCAAAGAAGCTCAACACATTGCACAGGCTCTGTAGCACCAGCGACGATCCTGAAATACTTAAGGTATATTTTTAACTCAAAATTTTGCTCTGGCATCACTGTTAGGCTACTCTTTTTGATTTCCAACTGCCATGGAAATTTTTACGTGCGCAACAATGCACACGGGCCTCCGATCTCACTACCCAGAGACCAGAGGGAGTTACTAGAAGGCCAAGTACTCATGAAAAAATCCCAGCCCTTACCGGGGATTAAACCCAGAACCTCTAGCACTCAAGGCGGACACCATGCCTTGTGATCATGCAGCTCCCCTATCTGTTGACAATAAATCATGAAGGATATAAGTACAATCTGTTTGTTGCAGAAATTATCCATTGACAATAAATCATCAAGGGTGTACATATGATTCTTCACTGTCACAGGCCCCTAATTATCTAGTGACTTTTGGAGAATCCCAGATTGTCCAGTGACTTTTGGAAAATCCCTGATTGTCCAGTGACTTTTGGAGAAAACCTGATTGTCCAGTGACTTTTGGAGAAAACCTGATTGTCCAGTGACTTTTGGAGAAAACCTGATTGTCCAGTGACTTTTGGAGAAAACCTGATTGTCCAGTGACTTTTGGAGAATCCCTGATTGTCCAGTGACTTTTGGAGAAAACCCGATTGTCCAGTGACTTTTGGAGAAACCCTGATTGTCCAGTGTCTTTTGGAGAAAACCTGATTGTCCAGTGTCTTTTGGAGAATCCCTGATTGTCCAGTGACTTTTGGAGAAAACCCGATTGTCCAGTGACTTTTGGAGAATCCCTGATTGTCCAGTGACTTTTGGAGAAAACCTGATTGTCCAGTAACTTTTGGAGAATCCCTGATTTTCCAGTGACTTTATTATTTGTATCATCCAGCCTTAGTCTTGGTCGAGGTTTCAACTTCACTGCAGTCGAGTCACCTGCTCTGTTCCTATGCCAGTGAAAATCAAATGAAATGATCCAGTAACTACAGTCGAGTCCACTTAAGTCGAACTCGGATAAGTCGAATTTATGTTGTCGAAATGACCAGCTTAGTCCCGGCAATTGTCTATATTGTGTGTACTGTCTGGATAAGTAGAAATCCTGATAAGTGGAAGCAAATTCTTATGTCCCTGCGACTTCTACTTATCCAGACTTGAATGTATAATGGAGAGTTAGTAAAATAACCTTTTAATGAGATTGAAACTGGTATTATGGACTTTTCACATGAGTGGCACATCGTCTCAGGTACCAGGTATACACCAGGAAGAACAAAACAGTGATAACTGGAACGACTTGGTGTGCAACTCCCAGAACTACAGGCATCTTTGGTGACCGGACTCGGCGCTTAGCGTTCTCTGTCAGCTGGGGCATCCTGAGTCAGTTGCTGCCTCATGTTTGTGTTATGCTGTACTGAAATTGTGTGTGGGTGGATATCTTGGTGCGAGGGTATCTGTTTGAGGTGTGTGTATCTTCAGTTTCATTGGTTAATTTATCAGAATAAATGGTTTTCTCAACGACTGGAGGAGCCTTGATGTTTTTGTCCTTGTACTGGTAAACGTACACATATTCCCATACATGTCTACATATGTTTATTTATGTATATGTCTATATGAATCTGTGTACATATATTCCTGTATATATGTTTGCACGTATATTCCCATTTGAGGAGAAAGGAATGGCAACACTGTAATCTGCCTTGCTTGTGGTTAGAGTCTATGGCTGGTGTGAGACCTATGGTAAACTAGTTGGATTGTGGGACTAGTCATGAACACGTCTTTACAATGATGGACGTATGTAGAGTACTTGTGCTCCATTCACTGGCATATAAAATTAGGTGTAGCAGCGGCTGTAGTAGCAGCGGCAGTAGTAGCAGCAGCAGTAGTAGCAGCGGCTGTAGTAGCAGCGGCTGTAGTAGCAGCGGCTGTAGTAGCAGCGGCAGTAGTAGCAGCGGCTGTAGTAGCAGCGGCAGTAGTAGCAGCGGCTGTAGTAGCAGCGGCTGTAGTAGCAGCGGCTGTAGTAGCAGCGGCTGTAGTAGCAGCGGCTGTAGTAGCAGCGGCAGTAGTAGCAGCGGCTGTAGTAGCAGCGGCAGTAGTAGCAGCGGCTGTAGTAGCAGCGGCAGTAGTAGCAGCGGCAGTAGTAGCAGCGGCAGTAGTAGCAGCGGCAGTAGTAGCAGCGGCAGTAGTAGCAGCGGCAGTAGTAGCAGCGGCTGTAGTAGCAGCGGCTGTAGTAGCAGCGGCAGTAGTAGCAGCGGCTGTAGTAGCAGCGGCTGTAGTAGCAGCGGCTGTAGTAGCAGCGGCTGTAGTTGCAGCGGCTGTAGTAGCAGCGGCTGTAGTAGCAGCGGCAGTAGTAGCAGCGGCAGTAGTAGCAGCGGCAGTAGTACCAGCAGGGACAGCAGTAGTAGCAGGGACAGCAGTATCAGCAGCGGCAGTAGTAGCAGCGGCAGTAGTAGCAGCAGGGACAGCAGTATCAGCAGCGGCAGTAGTAGCAGCGGCTGTAGTAGCAGCAGCAGTAGTAGCAGCGGCAGTAGTACCAGCAGGGACAGCAGTAGTAGCAGGGACAGCAGTATCAGCAGCGGCAGTAGTAGCAGCGGCAGTAGTAGCAGCAGGGACAGCAGTAGCAGCAACGGCAGTAGTAGCAGCGGCAGTAGTAGCAGCAGGGACAGCAGTATCAGCAGCGGCAGTAGTAGCAGCGGCAGTAGTAGTAGCAGGGACAGCAGTAGCAGCAGCGGCAGTAGTAGCAGCGGCTGTAGTAGCAGCAGCAGTAGTAGCAGCGGCAGTAGTACCAGCAGGGACAGCAGTAGTAGCAGGGACAGCAGTATCAGCAGCGGCAGTAGTAGCAGCGGCAGTAGTAGTAGCAGGGACAGCAGTAGCAGCAACGGCAGTAGTAGCAGCGGCAGTAGTAGTAGCAGGGACAGCAGTAGCAGCAACGGCAGTAGTAGCAGCAGTAGTAGAAAAAGGAAGTGAGATGATACTAATGTACAACAGTTGAATCAGAAACTCATTAGGCTGAAGGATTAGTAACAAGAAAGTGCCAGGAATTTAGGAAATGTGTTCCATGAACAATTTAACCAAGACAACGTGTTGATTGATCTGCCCAACAGCAACATGAAGTGGTCTATCTGCTGCCGTAGCCGCTACAGTTGTATTTGGTATTCCAACCACTGACCCCGCTGTGGACATAGTCGGTGGAAAGCCACCAACGGCTGACACCAAGCACGAACACCGGAGCTCCACTCGACCCAGGACATGTGGCTGTGGAATAAGTGTAGATGTACCGATCGTCTACCATGTCCCTCTTGACGCAGTAGCCAATGCTGGCCTGTTTGCTGCAGCCGTGAGGGTGCGACACGATGATTGTCAGTTTGTGCCAGCTGAAAGGTCGCGGGAGGACCATTGCGGGCGGGACGCCGGGACGTTCAGACATTACCGGGACGTACTTGTTATATTTGGTGTCTAGACTTTCCCAGAGACCGTTCCAGCGGTTTACCATCTTCTCCAGCTTGTTGATGAGGTCAGTGTCGTGGGTGACACATGTCAACTTACACCAGTCTTCGTCGATCGTACTACAGACATTTATAGCACCCACAAGTGCCACGGCTCCCGGACAGTGGTCGGGTTGGCTACCCGAGTCGAAGAAAAGATGGCAGGTTGTATTCTCTCCCTCGATCCTGTCATATACAACGTGAGCTGCAGTCTCTATATCTACGTGCGCAAACGGTCGTTTCTTGTCTGTAGAGCTCTGACATTCCTTACAGAGACACTCGCAGTCACCGCCGTCCTCTTTGGAATATCTGAGAAGCCTGGTGACGCGTCCAGTCCCGACTACCGTCATTTTCCTGCCGCGGTGTGAACAGAGTGGGTATGGCTGCTTACTGCCCGGGAAAGTCTTTGGTCTCTCGGGGCTGATGTAACTCACGGACACACGGACCGTTAGGTCAGCAAGGGCCTGGGTGAAGGCCAGTAGGTCACGGTCATTGCAGCCGGCAGGGAAATGATGCAGACCAAGTTTGTGTACGGGGATGAACCTCTGATGGTCTCTGTTCTTGCTGCAGTCGATGAGGTGTTGGTGAAGATCTGCCTCGCCGCCGTGAGAGATTTCCACCTCCCACAAACCTGGAACATCGACAGGTAAAATAAAGTCCACTCGCTGAAGTGTTTTTACAGGTGGTTAGGCGATTAAAGAGTCAAACTGAGATTTTAGAGATGTGGTTATACAGAAAAAAGGTCATATTTCATGGAAGTTTCTTCTTCATTGTCTTCACCAGCTGTAAACTCTGGTGGAAAGTTCTGGTTGTTCATCCCTTTCTGGATTTTAATCTTGTTCCTGAACTGAGTTTTGCTGGCATAAGTTTTTAACAGATATGGCTTATCTGTATGCAGACTGTTGGTTCCTCTGGTGTACTCACCATGTCTGTTCTCACAAATGTTTGATGTACTGTCTACTCTCACAAACGTTTGATGTACTGTCTACTTTCACAAACGTCTGGTGTACTGACTATTCTCACAAACGTTTGATGTACTGTCTATTCTCGCAAACGTTTGATGTACTGTCTACTTTCATAAACGTCTAATGTACTGTCTATTCTCGCAAACGTTTGATGTACTGTCTACTTTCATAAACGTCTGGTGTACTGTCTATTCTCAGAAACGTTTGATGTATTGTCTGTTCTCACAAATGTCTGATGTACTCACCCTCTTTCTGTCGTGTCTGTTTGGCCAGATTCAGAGTATCCATCTGTCTGGAGCTGGCGAGGAAAGAGAATGTCTCACAGTATATTCACCAACACAGAATGTCACTATACAAATGAATGACGCCTGAGAAAGAAAAAAAAAAAGAGAGAAATCTGAAAGGTTATGTTTATTCAACACATCGTGATGAAAAAACCTGGACGAGCAACTAGAAAGTTGAATTGGTATATAGGCGTCAATATATAGAAACATAAGTCAAATCTCATAGACGCTTCCGGCCACTATGAAGGACTAGGCATAGTAGAATGTTCAGCCTCGCAGTAATTTTTTTTTATTCTGACAGCGCTTTGCCAATGCGGTTTCGACAAATGGGTGGAAGTTTAGGTTTTACTGCATGAGCTACTTAAGTGCAGCATAGTTAGCTCTGTTTTTCATGTGGAATGCCTTTCATTTGTGGAACGGGTGAGTCGTGGTTATTCAGAAAGGCCTGTAGCCGGTTTACTTGTGGGCGGGTGAAATACCTTATCTAATCATTTGTATAGCCAAATTATCGTGTCCGACTTCCAACAACGACAAACTGTATTTCTGGTGGCGACAGTTGGTTTTGGCCCCTCTAGCAACTGCCATATGAATTTACTGCGTGAGCATATTTCTGGATTGTTCCGGGACTGATTGTTTGTTCGTCAGTTTTTCAAATGGGACAGTGCGGGTTATTTCATGTGATTTTCACTGGCCCAGGAACGGAGCAATATGGAAAAACCCGGTTGCAGTGAAGTTGAAACCTTGACTACAGCCAAGACTAAGACACAAACAGCTATCAAATATAAACTTTCTAAGGAAGACAGGAACTTTAAAAAAAAAAAAAACGTTGCTCTGATCAAAACTACAAAGTGAATATAAAAACGTCAAAACCTTTAAAGGCCCACGGCACTTGGGACGTACGTTGTTAGGCTTTTATATGTACAACTAACTGGCTATTGGCGGTTATGTGGTCAGCGTCACGTGACCGCTGCTACAGTTCTTTGGTATGGCCTAAAATCCACTTCAGGCCTGGGAGCCCATATCAGTTTGACATTGAACAGTGGCCAACACATGGGACTGCAACCCTCGTACTGGCAATGATAACTAGACTGAGGGGGTAAACAACTGAGGAGAGACTAGCAAGGGGTAGACACGGGGAGATGATATGAAGTGATGTCCGAGTTTACAACAACGTCAGACATTGCTGGTGATCTTTTGCTGCAACCTTCATCGCGGAAACGACAGACGATTGGTATTTCCATCCAACCCTTTAAAGCACTCTAGTTTGCCTAGACCCAGAGTGTTACAGGGGCACAGTGGTACCGCTGTACCCGACTATGCATGACGTAAGGTGACACTCAGAAGTAGTGTCAGGAGGCCGGCTACTTAAACCCAAAAGAGATGTAAATTCCAGCTAATCTCGATGGAACTTAAAAAGTATATGGCAGAAGTTCGGCTGCGAAATGTAAGGAAGAAGAAAAAAAAGGGGGAGGGTGGAAGCAAAAACAGCAAAACCATAAAAAATTAACAGAACAAGCATATGTAAATATATTCAAGCTTACAGCATATACTCATAAAAAATATTTCAATTAATACATAGTCTATGCAACATTAAATAACCAAAAGATAATATACAAGCAAAAATATCAAATTTAAACAACCCGGTGCATGTATATCCCAATTATAACCCAGACAGGCTGAACAGCTTATCGTTTATTTTTTTTTTAAAATGTTTTGGCATACACCGTATTAATGATCATGTCCTTGCCAGATTTATCTTATAATGTAAACAAATATCTGGTTTTCATTTTGCCGTATTTGGGTTCGGGGCGGGGCGGGTGGCAGACACCAAGCAAACAATCAGCATATTTACTGTTAACTGAGTAACGGCAACTTTTCCAAACATCAAATTGTTTGCGTTTCAGAGACATCTCACTCTCAAGTGGTCGTCTCCAGCAGTGGCCTCGCTTCAGTTGCAGATGTGTCATCGTATTAAAATAATCCCCACCCATCGCAGCACATAGGAACTGGTTCCCTAACAATCGTCTTTATCTATCTTCTTTCTACCCCACCAGGACATCACACAAGCGATAAACACCCGATGGCACAAAGTGCCACCATGCGGATGAGGATCACCCGTGGAGAGGTCCCAGAAACCGCGTTCAGCCATTAGACCATATTTATGGCCGGGCTATTTTGCGGCCCCTGGCAAGAGTCAGAGTAGGGCTTTAAATAAAGAAAAATTGCATCTCACAAGGAGATGACTGGATACTAATATCTTTTTCTTCGGAGTGCATCGCCTAATAATCTGCACCCGTGTTTCAATTACTGTAGGCCTGTAATGACGTTTTAGGGGTACGCAAAATATTAGTAAAACAAAGATCAAATGAATTGCCCTCTTAAAAAAAAGCAGAACTTTTTCAATTGTTGATTATAGAATAATAAAAGCTTAGGAAATCTAAGGTTACGTGCAAACATTCATGTTTATCCGACTCCTGAAACGCACCGTGGCTAGGAAAGATAAGTACTACCTGGTATCTTTGCTACCTTCTGGTATCTTTGCTACTACCTGGTATCTTTGCTACTATCTGGTATCTTTGCTACTATCTGGTATCTTTGCTACTACCTGGTATCTTTGCTACTACCTGGTATCTTTGCTACTACCTGGTATCTTTGCTACTATCTGGTATCTTTGCTACTACCTGGTATCTTTGCTACTATCTGGTATCTTTGCTACTACCTGGTATCTTTGCTACTATCTGGTATCTTTGCTACTACCTGGTATCTTTGCTACTACCTGGTATCTTTGCTACTACCTGGTATCTTTGCTACTACGTGGTATCTTTGCTACTACCTGGTATCTTTGCTACTACATGGTATCTTAGCTACTACGTGGTATCTTAGCTACTACGTGGTATCTTTGCTACTACGTGGTATCTTTGCTACTACCTGGTATCTTTGCTACTACGTGGTATCTTTGCTACTATCTGGTATCTTTGCTACTACGTGGTATCTTAGCTACATGATTTTGGTTCCAACAAACAACAATTATTACATGACTAGACAGTCACAATGAATGGTTGGAGATAGGGGGGAAAATGAAGATGACGTCACAATTACAATGTGTATCACTTCTATAGGGCCACAAATTGATTTTTTTTTTTTTTTCCACAAAGAAAACAGGAAATAATAAAGATATGAGGGTAGCGAAAAAGAAATTATAAAAAATAAAAAGAAAGATGATAAGGTTTACAAGAAAAAACAACAATAATCATAGAAGATTATTATCGTAGAAAATTGTTTTCTTCACACACAAATAATGTTTATTCTCAGGTTCTAGCGATCATATCTGTTAATGATCGCAATTGAAATTGATCAACTCACCTGTAAGAGAAACACACATGTGTCAATATTAGTTTTAAATAATTAGCTCAGTTAGCACGTGTAATACCAAAGAGTTCTGTACTAACACAAGTGAAACCTGTCTGAACCGACCCGACACTCAACTCTGTGATCCGTTCATAGACCTACTTATAGACCTGACACTGGTTATATACTGTCTTGGAATTCGTGTGAGATAAAAGCTGGAACTCCTTGTTGGACATACACGGAAGGATTAGGTGGCGATATCAGATCGTTTCTGGAATTCTGCCAACTTTAGGCCATCGATTTTGGCAGCTATCATTTCCTTAAATGTTTTGAATTTATTTGCTAAGGTAAATTACAAAGATATAAGAAAAGTGTAGAAACATTTAAAAAAAAAAATAGATATGTGGATGTATAAATAGATAGTGATGCAGGCAGAAAGCAGAACGAGAGACAGGCAGGATCAAGTGTGTAGAGGGAGGAGGGAGGATTAGTAGACAGAGGTTGACAGGGTCACACAGAAGACCAACAGACTGGTTGACAGGGTCACACAGAAGACCAACAGACGGGTTGAAAGGGTCACACAGAAAACCAACAGACGGTTTCACAGGGTCATATAGGAGACCAACAGACGGGTTGACAGGGTCACATAGAAGACCAACAGACGGGTTGGCAGGGTCACATAGAAGACCAACAGACGGGTTGGCAGGGTCACATAGAAGACCAACAGACGGGTTGACAGGGTCACATAGAAGACCAACAGACGGGTTGGCAGGGTCACATAGAAGACCAACAGACGGGTTGGCAGGGTCACATAAAAGACCAACAGACGGGTTGACAGGGTCACATAGAAGACCAACAGACGGGTTGACAGTGTCACACAGAAGACCAACAGAAGGGTTGACAGGGTCACATAGAAAACCAACGGACGGGTTGACAGTGTCATACAGCAGACCAATAGACGGGTTGACCAACTGAAAGCGACATAGGGGAGTATCACAGAATAGAAAAGTTGATAGTCGAAAGGAAGTCTGGGAAATAAATCAAACAGACAACACAGAAACAAATCATATAAATTAAGTCTCTTATTTATAATTATTGGGTACATGTTGTCCCATATTCTGTAATCCAGTCGATAGACAAAATGGACCCGTTTACCATGTAGGCTGAATAGTGCCACCAATCTTTGCTTTTGTCGACCATGGTTCCCAGATTGGTAGAGATTACAGAGTAAATTGTGCATAATTTTAGAGACAAATCGACAATTGATGACGTGTTCAGTATCAGTTATTTACCTCCTGAAACATTTCCCAGCTTTAGGTCCGGTCGTCATTGGCTCCCTGATAAATTGAAAAACAACATTCAGACTTTAACTAGACTTGAACACATAACTACAGATCCGGCAGGCAGGCATGTAAACCCTGACGACGACCACGGCTTCAGTGTGCAGGCAGAATGACGTTATCTTGTGCACCGAACAAACTTTCCAGCCTGCTTTTATCAACCCTATGAGTCTTACAACATACTGCAACTTATTAATCCTCTGGAACTTATCAATGGATATTATCGCCTTTAATTCAGATGTTTGTTTCAACGCGCCACCATTTCAGTACACACTGAATCAGCACTGATTAAGATAACAGTACACACAGGAGAACA